GGGGGATCCGCTCCCCGAGGGCAGCCCTGCCTTGCCTTGCCTTGCGTCGCCTCGCCTCCCCGCGTTGGCCCCAGCGCGGCCGGCCGAGCACATCACACGTGGCGTTCAGCCCGCTGGCTCGCACTTTCCTGCTCTGTTCCCAAGATTCAGCTCAGCTGCAACCCCTTCCCCACACCCATAAATAAAGCCCGAAATAAGAAAAAGCTGTGGAAGCCTGCCTTGCTGTTAGCCTAAAAGCGATAGCTTCTAGTGGAGCAGATGGGGAACGAGGTAATGCTGGGGGAAAGCAAGAGATCAAAGTAGGCTCAAGCCTCAAGCGCAGGCCGTGAGAAAGCAAACGGAGCTAATTCTACCTCTTCCTTCGACGTGTTGCTTCCGACCTCCTTCCCCGTGCCCCTCCACCTCACCAGCGTAGGACAGCTACCGAAAGAAGGGTCTCTACTAGCGCAGGCCTTCGAGGGGCTGTCTGGAGACCCACGAAGAATTTGGAGCATTCAAAGCCTCTTTGCCTGAAGTCCTAACGTCCACTTGGCAACGTGAGTCAGTGCTCCCCAGTGAGCCTGGTTTACACGAGTCCCCCTGTTCCTCACAGATCAATGGGATAACGTTTGGAACGTGGTATGCACGGTACACGTATGGCACGGAGCATCCAGGCGATCCTTCGGTGGACCGGCAGGCTTTTAGCCTTGAACCACCGCGGTTTGGAATTCAAGAAATAACAGCGCTTCTCCTGGACTAGAAGCTTCTGAGTCCTGGCATTTTAATTAAGGTGCCTCTACTAAGAAAGCATGAAAAGCAGTTATCACTAGCATTTATCCTCAGCCAGAACGGGTAATAGCATCCTCTGAATCTGCCTGGCCAATATTGTACCCCAGCCTATTAACCCCTCACCGTTCCCTCCCTTATTTCCCGGTCGTGCGAGAGTTTTCTCTCTGCTGCTCCTTTTCCCAAAGTAGGACAACATGAAAAAATGTTCTTAGGGTTTTAGACCAGCAGACTAAGAAAATAAAAACGAAGTATAAGCAAATTTTTTTTTTTCCTATAAAAGGTTCCAAAACCAAAGCAGGCAGATTTGCAGAGCCATTTCCGCCCGAGGAGCCGATGAGAAGAGCAGGGTTCCTCAGAACCCGGCTTACTATTAGGATATATTTACACACAAGCCGCCGCACCTTTAAGGAAGGATTAAAATACTTAAACTGAGCTGCTGTTATTCTTTACTTTTATTCTTTTTCACATTTAGACCACCTCTACAGTCTCCCAGAGCCAAAGCAGCACCCTGGATGCCCTGGAACCCCGTCGTGCCGTTCCCGCAGCCGCTGCGTGAGTCATTGGTGTGCGGCGCGGCGTTCCCTTTGTAAAGCGCTGCTTCCCAAACCACCGTCCTCAGAAAGCTGGCCGGCTACGCGCCGCTGGCGCAGGTCCTCGCTTCCAACCGCCGTGCGGCTCTCCAGACAACCAAGACGCACTGAACGCTATCCCGACGCGCGTTGCCCTTGTAAGCTGCTCCTTTAGTTGCCGCAGGGCAGCTATGTTCTCGCGAATGAGCGAGTAGGTGTCTCGGAGTAACTTCTCTCCTAATGCACGCTCCATGTAAAGAGGAAAAAAAAAGGAAAAACCAAACCAAACGACCCTCACACGCGTGGGGAAGTCTTGCTCTAGATAATGTGTCAGCTCTCCGTGCAAATCTCCCTGGTCCAGCAAGTAGTCTGGGAACTAGGCCGAGACTAGGAATTATCTCCAGCTCTGCCATATGGAGATGCGAGACACCAGGCCAATTGCTTGTTTTATTTAAACATGTGTTTCTTTTACCAGCAATATTAGCGTTGCCTTATTCCTGTTTATACTTAAGGGAAGGAGAAAATAAACTAAGTAACTTTTTTCCTCTCCTTTTGTTTTGCTCTCTTAAGAGCTCTCTGTTCTTGTCAAAGTGAGTTAAGCTAAACAGAAACAAGGTGGTTTTGTTCCAGAGTGAACGTGGCCACGCTTGGAGTTATCTGGGAACCGTTTCTACAGTTCAAACGCATCCCCCCAACCTTTAATCCTTATTAACCTTCCCGCATCGGAAGAACCTTAGGGCGGGCAATCGGTTATTAACTCAACAGACACCAGTAAAGCACGATGTACCGGAGGTGCCAAGGTACGCGATGCCAACCCGCCGCGTTTTTCCGTCTTGATGAGGCACCTCTTTTAGCGGCTTAAGAAAAAAAAGTTTCTGACCGCTTGCAAAGCGGCAACCGCATCACGACGAGAGCAATCTTGTAGCTCAGGGGATCCTGAAGGAGAGTCGGGATTCCCTGCTCCCGTCCCCGCGAATCCTCTCACAACTTCGGTATCACCCTCGGAGAGAACTCGCGTTGAGCCAGCGAGACCCGCGATCCGAGTTGAGCCAGCGAGACCCGCGATCTGACGTGCCGGCTGCAACGACCGCGCTGGGGGAAACGTAACGCTTTCAGTTCCCTGCCTGCAAAGTTCTTCCTCCCGTAAGCCACCCAGCAAACCTAAGCCGATGGCTTCCCAGTAACAGCAGCATTGCTTGACTACTAGCACGTATGTTAGTAACGCAGCAAATGTAAATGTGCTATAGGGGTGGCTCGCGGTGCTGAACCCTTATTGGCTCACCAGCGCGAGCTTTTATTTCCCTATTTCAAACGCAGTCGAAAGTCCGTTTATGTTCACGGGTTTTGAGTGCATCGGAGAGGCACCTCTCTGCCTAGAGGATAAAACAGAGGCGCACCTAGCCAGGTTCGACCCGTGCTCTTTTCAACAGGGACAGTGTTTAAGCCGGTGAGGTGAATGATGAAGTAGTAGTAAACTTACTTTCCAGTGATAAATTGGCTTCTGGATGGTGTGCACATAGGCTGAACATAATAGTTCTCCAGTTTAACCCCTTCAGCAGCTAGCTTGTCCAGAGTGGGCGTCCTGATCTCGGATCCGTGGTACCCTACGTCTCTGAATCCCTGAT